ATATATATATATATATTTCTCAACAGGAAGTCAATGCAGTGTCCGTAAAAGAGGTGTAACTGAGTCTCGCTTTCTTTTCCGTAAAATTAAACGTGCAGCATTGTCTTGGACAATTTGAAGTCTTTTCACTTTCTCCCGTGAGATTCCCGATAGCAAGGAGTTACAATTTTCGAGTCTTGACAAAACTAAGCTAGATGCTATTACCTGTCATTTTAAGGTGTGTTTCAGAGGTCACGAGTGTGCATTTCAGTTCTTATTCGTAAAACTTTGTTGCGGGTGGTTCGCAAGTGCGAGTGCTGTGGTGTAGTTTGCTAATTCCTTCCTATCAAACATCTATGGTCTTTATATCTCCTCCACTTTCTTGTGTTTGTTGCTTTCATATAACACGTCTAATCTAGGGCGCCTAAAACACCTAATCGTGTTGCAAGTGCTGTAAAACACCTACTACAACTAACACAAACTTTGCTAACGGTTCTTTTCAATCTTCTCGAGCTAGACTCACGTTGATTTTTCCCTCAACCTCTCTGTTCCTGTGAGTTCACGGACAGACTAACACAGCGAAACAATGACACAGCCTCGGACAAACCCAGCACAGCTTCCTCGTGAGAGGGCAAATGTTGCTATTATGACGTTTAGTGGCCAAACATTTTCTTTTACTTGCTTATTTACTTAACCTTTCGTGACCCGGTACAAAATGTTCTTGAGTGTCTCCTTTTCGATCTTTATAGGTGCACTCAGTGACAGCTTGCAGAACATCGGTTATTTTTCATCACCAACAAAGCGATTGATCTAATCATCTCTGTTGCACTATTCAGTTTAAAAACAAAACAAAATAAAATAAAACCAAACCAAATAAGAAAAAATCCCAAAACCATCAGTGTTCAGAGTAAAATATTGTTGACATACAAATAGAGAATAAACCTTTACATAGGATGCATTACAAATTGACAATTACAAACTTGCAAATGGTGCTACATTGCACCGAAAGTAAAATTATTTGATTGCTTTCGTGTTGACTAAAACCACAAAGCCGATAAAATTATAGCAATTATTGCCCCGAGAGAGCTCATATTCTCAAGCACTTTTCTGCATTCATGTTCCAGAACTTCACCGTGTTCTAGAAAGGACCAAACAAACACAGGGGGAACATTTGCGTGGTAGAGACTGACATTCTGTTCTTAGCACACGTTTTCTTTTTATTGGATCAGTCTAAAACAAATAGATAAAACAGTTTATACCGGATCATTTGCTGATTGTCTGTCAACATCGCAAGTATTTCCTCCTCTATAAAAGTCCTCGTTCTGTTATCCATGAGCGTGTGTTCGTAAGATTAACCCAACACGTAGAATATTATTCTATCAGTCAATGTTGTTTAGCTGTGTACTGCCGGCTTTTGTCAAAAAGTGTACAGCGTCAGCGTGCTCGGAGTTTTCTGAAAATATAAGAACATAGACACAATAGTAAACTTCTAGCGCTTTAAAAAAAACATCAAGATAGATCTGAGTACCTGAATGTAAGGATAGTAAAAAAAAAAGACTCACTCTGAGTTTTGAGTAAGCAGACGCACATCAACGCAAGAACAATCGTCTATTGTTGGAAAGGGCAAGCTGTCTCGAAGCACTATTGGAAGAATAGCAAAGAAATTGGACCTATCAACCACCTAAAACTTTCTCCGAGTTTTGAGAAAAATAAAGCATATAGACACAATCAAACACTCGTCTTGTATTGACAAAATAACAACAACAATAACAAACAAAACAAGCAAACAACAAAAACAAACAGACAAATACAAAAAAACCAAGATTGTTAGAAGTAGCTGAAAGTAGCGGTGGTGAAGAAGTAAGACCTACAAAAAGTGTACAGGGTCAGCTCACTCTAAGTTATATAAAATTATAACCACATAGACGCAATAATAAACTTCTAGCGTTGGAAAAAAAAGAATAACCAATTTCCTTTGGAGAAGCTGAAAGTAGGAGGTGGTAAAGATAAAATTCCTACAAGAAGTGTAGAGTGTCAGCTGACTCTCAGTTGTGAGAACATTGAACCACAACAACGCAGCAACAGCGGTTTTGTGGTGGAAAACGCAAAGTTGTCAAAAGCATTATAGGAGGCACTTAAAAAAAGTTGGACCTATCAGTGGCGCCCTCTAACCACCCTCAACTTTCTTCCACTTTTGAGAGAATAGAAGCACGCCAATAGAAATACAGCAGTCTTGTGTTGAAAAAAACAACACCTCACCAACAAAAACCAACGAATAAATACAACCCACCCCACCCCAAGATAGTTATGAGTACCTGGAAGTAGGGGTAGTACAGACGTAACCATTGCCAGTGGCGCTCTCCAGCCACCAACAACTAACTCCTAAAAAAGCCAGTTTGGAAAGAGTCATTTTGGGACAAACCAAAAAAACAAACAGCAATGTGCACCTCAAATGTCTGCATGACGCCATTTACTGGTGGAAGGAACCTCATGACTTTCTCTCTGGATGACAGCGGAGCCGGGCTAAGGACGACACAAAGGACCACACAGTTTGTCCCAGTCGCCAGTGACGAGGTGACGAACATGTTCAAGCTGGTCAACTTCGTCATTCTGTGTGGTCTGCTCAGTCCCTTCGGCCTCATCTCCAACGTCATCAACATCGTGGTCTTTGTGAAGCTAGGGTTCCACGACAGCATGAACATTAGTCTCATGGGTGAGATCTCAGACCGTAGATTCCTTTTTTATAACCATTGGGTGATGGTGAGATGACCAGACCAGAAATAGATAAAATGCACACAAACCAAATGCATGGGCTTGACAGCTGGATTATAGGAGAACATATGTAGTGTGAATAAAAGAACGCAGAAAGCCCATTCACACTTTGATTTAAACTTGCATCCCCCCCCCCTCTCTCTCTCTTTCTTTTCCCCTTTCTTTTTCTTTTTTTCTCATTCCCTCACTCTCTTAAAACGGAAACACACTCAAACACACATAAACACACATTTACATACACATGCACACACACACACACACACACACACACACACACACACACACACACACACACACACACACGCACATGCATACAGAGAGTGAGAGAGATAGATAGATAGAGGGTGGGAGAGAAAAAAAAGAGAGAGGGGGAGAGCGGGGAAAGGGAGAGTTTTGCAAATTCTGTTCATAATGCGTTCTTTTGCCCTTTCGTTTTCTAAGAATATTCAATGATGTAGACCCAACTTGTTGAATATTTCAATACAGAGCATTCAGTCGCCCTTGATTTGAAAAAGCCCTCTTTTCACAATTCTCAGTACATCTTTCCCGTCACGTACTTTTAATATGTCGTATTTTCGGATATAAAAAATGTTTGTTCATTTGAATGGTGCTAAAATATATATTTTTTCTTATTGTTTCTTCTTCAAAGTTACCTGGATACTCTCACCTCTTACATTTTGTTTTTCCAAGTTATATGGATATGTAAAAATCATAATTGTTTGTTTGACAAAGTTATCTATACTATCTAAATATGCCAAAATCTTATAGTTATTTATCAAAGTTATCTGGTGGTGTATAAATCATCTATTTTAGACATTTGTAACACATTCTTGTTGTTCTTGTCTCAGGCCTGGCCGTGTCTGACCTGGTGTCCCTGGTGTCCATGGTGTACATCAGCCTCTCCTACAACCCGCTCTTCGTCAACGCCGGCCTGCCTTTTGACCCCCTGGGCGTCCAGTACATGGTGGGGGGCGGGATCCATGTCTGTTTTGCCAGGTGGGTTATGAGTATCCGAAGTTATGCAACATGTCGGCATATTTGGTGGAATCAGGTGCACTTCAATTTTGAGGCATATGGGTTACTGGTTGTTATCATCGTAAATTCTGTTCATTTGCCTTCCTTTTGGTGAAAATAAAATATTCATTTTTTGTTGAATAGACGTCGAAATATTTGCGATTGAACGAGGTCAGGGTCGCCCGGTTTCAGAGGCAAAATTAACGAGAAAATGGCCACCAAGGTTTGGTAAGTTGCAGAGTCCTTGGACCCTGAAAATTTACATTTTTTGTGCCTTTTAATCAATGTTTTTTTTGTGTTTGAAATCCAGACAGAAATGTGTTGTCAAAGGAACATGAAAGGTGTTGAGGCTAAAAAAAAAAATTAGAAAGAAAATTGCCCATCGGCTCAAAAAAAAAATCCAATTTCTTTTATTTCATTTTTTGACGAGCGCCTGATTTTACCATGGTTCCTCTTATATATAATATAATATAACTTTTGCTAGTCCCTGACAATCACCCTCAAAACAATCACTTCCCACCACCACTATTTGCGTTTTTTTCTGAAATGTTAAAAAATGATGGCAGTGTCCATTCATAATGACAACTTTTCTTCTCAACAATGGGTGGGCGTCTTGGACAATTTCGGATGAATCTTTTTAAACAGTCAATAGAATAGGGACTTCGGGTTGGGGGTGTACGTGTAAATGTCTGTCTGGATGGTCATTTTGGACAGGTTCGATTGTATCGGACAATTATTTCTGCTACATGTTGTGACTTGGGAGACAGGGTACGTGTAAATGTCTCTTTCTGGCTATTCGTCGTGGGCAGGATCGGTTACATATTATCACATAATGATATATTGCATTGTGATCGACCTCTCCACAGAATCACAAGCCTGATCACCGCTTTCATCACGTTCGAGAGATGCCTGTGTATTGCCATGCCTCTCAAGGTCAAGCTGATCATCACCCCCACAAGAACCAAGCTCATCATCTTCTCTATCTTCGCTGTCATGTTCGTCGTCTTCTCACCTTTCTACTTCGTCAACAAACTCACCTGGGAGCTCGACGCGGACCGGAATGCTACAATCCTCACACACACGTTTACAGACGATAGAATAATTGTGGAAACGATCACGTTTTTGATCCACGGTGTCATTTTCTCCGTGTTTTGTTTTGTGCTCATCATTTGTTGTACCGTAATTCTCGTGGTCAAACTCAACAGTAAAACAAAATGGCGGGAAGCCACTGCTGCCAAGGGCGTTAATGCACCGGAAGGAGTAGGGGTCAAAGACAAAAGGGTCGTAAAAATGGTGACCTTCATCTCGTCCATCTTCATCGTCTGCTTTTTCCCCGCAACAGTGATACTTTTGGCTTTAGCTCTAGTGCCTGACCTGGGTTATGGTGCGAAATATGAAAATATGTGGTTTGTCTTATGGTCTATTTCCTGTTTAACGGAAACTGTCAATTCCAGCGTGAACATTTTAGTGTATCTGAAAATGAGTTCAAAATTTAGAGCTGTGTTTATGAAAACTTTCCTGAACAGGGAAGAAAAATAAGCCAGTCTCAAATCTCGGTGAGTCAATGTAATGCCAGTCGCTATGAGTAACAACGACCTTGCAGGAAGAAAACTGAGCTATGAGTAACAACGACCTTGCAGGAAGTAATTGAATACAATCAGTAAGTTTCCTCGGGAATTTGTTCGGAGTGGGGGATGCAGGAACAAAAAAAAAATGGGGGGGTGAATTTTGATTATGGGACAAGTGTTTAGGATGTAAATCTACAATACAGCAGGCACGGAGCAAAATCAGTGGGTCGTGGAAATCCTTTCGTTACGTACGCATTTTGCTAACACTATATTATTGTTTGAAGTACAGAGACTTGATAATGTATAAGAAAAGTTCCGTATCTGGAGATCTGTTCCCTACGCGTGTGTTTAGCTATGTGCGTGTTTCGCTGTGTACACGTTTAACTATGTGCGTGTTTCGCTATGTGCGTGTTTAACTATGTGCGTGTTTCGCTATGTGTGTGTTTAACTATGTGCGTGTTTCGCCATGTGTGTGTTTAACTATGTGCGTGTTTCGCTATGTGTGTGTTTAACTATGTGCGTGTTTCGCCATGTGTGTGTTTAACTATGTGCGTGTTTCGCTATGTGTACACCTTTAACTATGTGCGTGTTTCGCTATGTGTGTGTTTAACTATGTGCGTGTTTTGCTATGTGGGTGTACGCAATATGCGTGCTGGACTGTATACTGTTTCTCAATGTATCAACTTAAACTTTCCAATATAGTTGTGTGAAAATTCATGAACGCGGCAGTGGAAAAATAATTGAAGTCATATTTTTTTGGCTCTTGTTCCTTTTAAACTTGATTTAGTTGTTGATATTAGCCCTACAGAGTAAAGTAATACTAACCCCCGGGGAAGTGCCACTGACTGTAGTGTCTTTAGGCCATTCCCAAAGGGGGGACATTTCTCTTTCAAGTGCAGTAGAAAATGGGCTGATTCATATCACGCTCATAACTGTGTCTGATCAAGTCCAGGGAACTGCTACTTTTTCTTTCCTAATCCTTACTATTGTCATTTTCCTCTACTTCTTTTGTATGTTTGTCACCCCGCGCCTTCTAGTCCCACCTTTTCCTCCACTCCCTCCACTTTCTCCCTTTCGCCTCCCTTTCTCTCTCTGACACTTTTCCTTTTCATTCGTCTGTTTATAAATTATGTTATTTACGCAAGGACAACTATACTATAGTAGTCCTTGTTTTTACGTTATTCTTGATAGTTGTAAAACTTGGGAAAGTTACACCCTGTCACTAGATATCTATTTAGAAAATAAACAGAAGCAATAAAACTACACAGCTTCAGAAACCATTTTTGCATTTCTGTTATATTTCCTGAAGTTTTGAATATGAACACTTGATCGCTCTTGCAAATGTGAGTGAGGAGGGGCAACGCATGGATTGTAAAACTGACCGGCTATTATCTAAGTCGACTCTCTCTCTCTCTCTCTCTCTCTCTCTCTCTCTCTCTCTCTCTCTCTCTCTCTCTCTCCCTCCCATTCAATAACTCTTCCACCAACAACATACACGGAGCGACGAAAAATCTTCTTCTCTGAACATTTTCTACTTTCTCCTTCTTTCCTGCTCTCAAACAACGGTCTGTAGTTTGCCTTCGTCTCCACCCCAACTCCCTCACCTCCTTTGCCTCCTTCTCTAGGCTCCTGACTCTTTCTGCAGCCTTTCTACAGCTACTCCTTGGCTCCCTCTTGCTGTTGTCTTTCAGCTACACCCCTGATCTTATGGTAGGTAAGATCAAAGATATTGCCTTCTCTGATAAGGGCGAACAATCTCGGAGGTCCCTTGTGCAAACTGCGCATGTTAAAGATCTCTTGGTGGTCCAAAAATCGATTAGAGTAGACTTTGGCCGCCACCCAGGCAAATTTCAAAATTTCCTACCTACTGAAAATATTTAATGTGTCCCTCGCGCTCATTTGACCTTTTGCAGTTGCGAGCGCCGTAAAAACTTACCAAAAAAAAGAAAAAAAAGAAAAGACACATATTCTGTATTTTATACCTACGTCATCGCACCCCCATTT